TGGGGCAACTGGGTGGTTCAGTTGGTTAAGTGTCCGACTCTTGATCTCGGCTCAGGTCTTGATCTGACAGGATGGTGAGTTTGGGCCCTGTGCTGGGCATGGAGCCTACTTTAAAAAAAAAGCCACTTTTAAGTTTCAGAAGCCTAGGGCGCCTGGGTGGCTCAGTTGGTTAAGCGACTGCCTTCGGCTCAGGTCATGATCCTGGAGTCCCGGGATGGAGTCCCACATCGGGCTCCCTGCTCGGCGGGGAGTCTGCTTCTCCCTCTGACCCTCTCCCCTCTCGTGCTCTCTATCTCTCATTCTCTCTCTAATAAATAAATAAAATCTTTAGAAAAAATAAATTTCAAAAGCCTAAACTCAAGGGATACACAGTTTCTAAATAATAGCATTTTAAGGAAAGATGAAGAACTAGGCTGTCCATAGCAAAAGATTCTCTGGAATGGAGGAGGGGAAGAATTGGAAAGGAACTTTAGTTGCCAGTGTGCACCCTTGAGAAGGGGCTGTGTGTTTTTTCTCCATTATTTGAGTTTCAGTTTGGGGTTGATGGAGAGAAAGAAAATGATAGATAATTCAGATAATTACATTTAATATTATATATCAATTATACTTCAATAAAAATTAATTAATTAAACATACCAATAAACAATTGAGTATGTACCATGTACTAGCAGTTATACAGGAGCAAACAAAACATGAACCCTACATTCAGAGAGGTAATAGTTTAGAAGAGAAGAGATATAATATCATTTGACAAGTGCTTAAGTAAAAATATGTACAAAAAATAGAGGTACACCAGAAGACAAAATGATTAATTTCTAATAGCATTTTTCTCCCCTTTATAATAGAGATCTAAAATCTCCAGGGTATTTCTTTTTGTGGAAAAAAAATCTAATTTTCCTTTACTTGTTATGTAAGCTAGAAGTATGTGCATGCCTCAACTTACTATGTCTCCAATTATCAGCCTTTAAGCCTAATGATCACTGTCTTTGTCAAATGGTCCTGAATGCATTTCTATTCCTAACCTGAAAATAATCAACACCACGCTTATTACAGAGTTAATTTTGTAGCTAAATAATCTTTAACTTGTCCTTTTTCTATATCATGTTTTGAAGAATTACAATAAAATAATCATTATTCATGTGTCCCATGTTTCAGGCATACAGCATAATGATTCAACATATGTATACATTATAAAATGATCACCACAATAAGCCTAGTTACCAATTGACACTATAGAAAGTTATAATTTTTTTTTCTTGTGGGAAGTTTTAAGACTCACTTCTTTAAAATTTGCAATACTGTATTACTGACTATAGTTACCATGCTGTACATTACATCCCCATGGCTTATTTATTTTATAATTGGTCCCTTTCACCCATTTCACTACTCCCCCCCCCGCAAATTTATTGAATTGAGTTGAATTGGGTTAAGATGCTGTCTTCTAGTACTCAATCTACAGAGTAGGTCTTTTTTGGGTATTCCTGTATGGGTAAATTGGAGCAGAGTGAAAATCAAGTCTTTGTTTCAATCTTCAGGATTAGAAAAATCAGTCATGAACTAAGGGAAGTGGGACTTCGGGGATCTCTTAAATCTGGACATTTGCCCAACATTGGAATGGGCTTCCTAATTACTTATTTCATATATCTTTTTTGATAGTTGATTGCTTATCAGATTGGTGGCCAAGAACATCTGTAACATCTGTAACAATCTGTAAAAGATTTGCCACCTTCAAACTCTAGTGTTATACAATGAGGTTCTTTATGGTATGCCACATTGGGGAGTGAGCATTCTTATCTTTCCTAAATGGTCAGATGTCATCATTTTTCAAGTTGTCAAGAAAGAACAGTTTGGGTATTTCTTGAATTTGTCAAATTCAGCTAAGCACTTTTAGATTGATAAATCTATTAAATCTACATAAGACACTTTAAGTTGTTCAGAACATTTACAGATCTCAAAGGATAGAAGTACAAAGGAAATAACACTTACGTAAATGATGTGAACAGTGCTCTGTCACATTGAAATATGTGAAAAATAGTCATTTAAAAATATTAATCTTGAGTTAATACTATTATCAACAACATAATATTAATGTTCAGAATATATTTCTGATCTTGTTGCCTACCTAAAGTTCAAGTCTTTTATACTAAAAAGAGTCAAAGCAAAGGACTTTCAGATCTAAGCCAGAACCCAATACTACCAGGATGAAAAAATGTTTTCTTGAAGTACTAGCGTTGGCAGTAACCTTTAGAATTCAGTGTCTTCTTCAAATACAATTAGATGTATCAAATAAAATATTAGATAGCCTCTTCTCTAAGATAAACACTATATTAATGTGCATATCTTAACCCCCAGGGCTTAAAATAGCAAAAGGAGGTAGGAACTGAAAGGATATTGGCTCCATGCTGACTTGCATACTTGGGGGGATTAGTAAAATTTGAGGTCAGCAAGAGTCCCAGGATGCCAGACGGATCAAGGAAGGAAGCACACCATGGTGGCTGTGTTCCTTTTCTCTTGGCCACTACATGGGCAGCTGGAAAGGAAGGTGGCTCTTCTGTTTAGTGATTTCTGTAATTCCCTTTGCATGGTTGGCTTGTGTCCTATTGCTACTTTTATTTCATTCTTCAGAGAGGAAAATTCCACATTAGTATTGCTCAGTATGACAGGAAATAGCATCAGTAGCACAGTGCCTTGCACATAGTAGGATTGACTGAATGAAAATTGTACTGTTAGCTCATTCCAGTAAAATGTCTGGAACATTCAGTTCCTTGGACATATTCAGTCTTTGTAATACTTAATGTTATGTTTGAAATTATGGCTGTCAAGTTGTGCTAATGAAATCTCACTGGGTTTCATTTTTAATCTAGAATCCAAGGAAGCTTAACTGTAGTGGAAAGAGCTCTGGACTTGGAGAAATGTAAAAGTTACCTGGGGTATTTTTCAAAAAGTATATCCCAGCTACTTCCTTTCTTAGCCTCCACCAAGGACATATCAGAATCTCCAAGGTGGACAGTATGTAGTTGGGGAAAAAAAAAAGCTGCTCACACAAGTTGGATTTTCTCTTCCCTAACCTCTGTTCTTTTCACTTTCTGAGTTTGAAAATGAATGGAGAAGTTGATTTCCAAGGGCCTATCTGTAAAACTCTATGGTTTTGTTAGTAAAAATTCCACTCCCTAGTGATGCTTTTCTTCCCAGAAGTTATCTGTTCTATTGTTATCTTCTTCATTGGGACTTGTTTATTATGTGGAAATATTTTCTTAGGATATGGGCCTTAATTCTAAAGTCTTTAATTCTAAAGTCTTTAGAGTGTAAGATAGAAGTAGTGGGTTAAATGAGGAACACTTTCTTTCCCCACTTTTCTTTTTGCTAAGCTAGCATTCAGTGTCTTGGATCATAGAACTGTAGAGATATGGGCTTGCTGGATCTCTAGAAGTAGAATGTCTGCTGTTGAAACTCTGGCTAAGTCCTGTTATGTTGACAGAAATAGTAGCTCTAGCGTATAGAGAACACTCAGGAAATAGTTGTTCCAGCAAAGTACCTATATGGTTTAATAATATACACTGTAGGAAAATATTGATTAAATGTAATTTAAAATACTATCTTATTTTTATTTTGCCTCTTGGAATAAAAAAGTCAGACTTTTTCATAGTTATATTTGAATTCTTTTTGAACACATGTAAACTGGATGGCTTAGGGTTTCCTAATGAGATAGAAATAATCTTTCTAGAGAGGTTATCACTTTTCTTCTATTAAGTTGTTTGTGATAATCTACTATGGTCATGTGAGTGGAAAGAGAGCTTTTATTTATCAGTCCATGGTAGAAAGTCAAGTTGGACCCCAAATTAGCAAATTCCCAATCAGCATCTTGTTAAATTTAAGTCTTTGCTATTATCTCTATGTGCTGTGCACAGAGTTGCTACTCAAATATATTAATCCTTATAGTTTATAAAAAATGTTTTCTTATCATCAAAATAATAGTTTATTATAAAGAATTGTATTGGGAAGGTAAACGTGAAATTTATTAATGATTCCACCTATGAGGAATGTTGTGGAAAATTTTGGTGTGTTGCTGAAAATAATTTAATATTCACTCCTGCTGATGAATGTTTTTTAAATCTGGTGAAAATCTTATTTAAGATAAGCTATATGAATAATTTTTAGTCATACTTGTTTAACTCCTCTTCATTTGTAACCTCTGTACTCAGTCTGGGATTCAGTGATACATGGGCTTCATTACTTAAAATACTCTGGATCTACAATTAATTCTGGGAAATATGTGGTCACTCAACAGCCATTATCACCTTCTTTTCCCTACAAAAGAGCTCCTCTGACTCATTTTCTCCCATGGATTAGAGAATCCTGTACTCTTCTTTTGTTGAGACTTTTAAGGCAAAAGGGTACATGCTTAGGCTACTCTTGTCAGATTCATTTTTTTTCAAAATGCTTGAATATCTTGATAATTGCTACTATCAAAATACTTTCTTTCCTTATTATTTTTTTGGGAAATCATAGAAAAATATATTTTATTTGTGATAGTGTGTGACTTACCCAAGTTTCTCATAATTAAAATATTGAAAGTATCTGTCTGCCCAATTCTTACTGAGTCAACAATGACTTAAATGATTTTGTTAATGCATAGTTCAGTCTCACTAAGACATATCAATTTTGATGTCATCTTTTCTGTTTTTAAAGACCCCACGTAATCGGAGCAGGACATCTAGTACACCTTATTAACATCCTCTTGTTTGAACTATGCCTCCTCCTCTGTGGGGTTCTGGGAATGAAGTGTAGTACCTCAAAGTGTTAAAATCTGGCTGAGCTGGTTGGAGTCCCCCTTGGACGAGTCTGTATAAGAAGTTAGCATCTTAGGTGAGATTCTTAATGTCCACTAGACTTGCAGCATTGCAGGCTGTATTTTATACCAGTAGCCAGGTGTGGGCAGTGACACAGGGCTTGGGAGATCGCTCTTACCGGCCCAGGGATCCAAGGCATTCAGTGCAAAACCTGGCCAGCAGCCCGAGTGAGTAGGAGCCATGTGACTCTGGTGAGTTGGAGTGTGCAATTGCCTCCTGCTTCAGAGCTACCTGATCCGAATACTAAGCAGAGCGAGTGCTGGGCTGAGTGTAGGACATTGAAGACACTGCAGAGAAAGGTGCTTATTCCAGAGGCGTTACAAAACATGGAGATTAAAGACCAGGGAGCTCAAATGGAGCCGCTGCTGCCTACGGTAAGAGACAACCTGCTGTCACAGATTAACCGCGTTTGCTGCAAAACCTGTCAGGCAAGCGGTCGGCTGGCTAGATGCAGTGATCGTACTTTTGGGGTGGTGGATAGCTCCCACGACATATGGACAGGGGTCTCCTCCCATCTCGGGTGACTGAAATGCATAACGCAAAGCACATGATATTTTCCCCCCTCTTCTCAATATGGATGCACTACGGTGATGAAATGTCTCATGTCTGTTGCTGTTGGAAGAGATGGCTAGGTTTTAGCAGCAGGGGCAGCTGTGTGTCTCTCTTCCAGCCTGTTTCTGCCTATCTCTGTTTCTCAGGCTGTGCAGTGGTGGCTGAAGACCCTGCAAAGAAGCTCCCCCCTTTTTTTTATCATATTCCATTCATGATAAATTTCTTCCCTATGCCTCACCCCCCTGGCAGTGAGGTAAGGGAATCTGCTGCTGTTGCAGCTCCAGAGATTTAGTCTGCAGAAACCAGGGGAAAGGAGAACAGGAGGATTTGTGTGTGTGTGTGTGTGTGTGTGTGTGTGTGTGTGTGTGTTCTGTCAGTCTCTTAAAAGGAAATGTGTCATGGTTCACATACAAAGAAGGTGTGTGTTTTGGGGGGACAAGCAGACAATTTGGCATTGAATATCTGAAAGGTTCCTGAATTGTCATTTAGAAAAAGCCTGTTTATTTCTGGGTCTTAAGACACCTCCCTAGATCTAATTCTTGGGTAAGTTGTTGGTTTGCCTATCCTCTCCACAATCTCTCTGGCTGGCTCATAGACTTTGTAGCTCTTCAGGCAACATCTTTCTCAGTCTGGAGCAGCTGATGTTGCTGTGTTCAAGGAAAAAAAGAAAAACAACAACAACAACAGTATTTTCTTGACGCAACAGAAATGCCAAATGTAAGCTTCCAGCCATCTATCAGCACTATCACAGCTCAGAGCAGCAGAAATCTCCTCCCTGCGCCAAATGAGGAAGAGGGGCTCTTCTCAGCTCTCTGTTACTCAGGTTGGTGACCCACCTTGCAGACTAGGGACTGGCAGCAGGCTGTCCATTTCCAAGTCCATTTCTAGGCTTTGAACACATCTTTACATCAAATGATACCTCAGGGGGAGTGGGCAAATTCTGGGCCACTGTATTTTTAGGGCCTTACCTCTCCTGCTGGGCTCAAAATCTGCAAAAGATGCCAGTTTGCATCCGGAATTGGCTGTGGCTACTGAGCATGCTCAGTTCTCCTCAGGACGCTAGATTTGGGCCAGGAGGGAGCAGGAGGATGGGAAGAATGCAGACATCACTACCACGAATGGAGCCTAAATAAAGAGCAGGGGCAGTGAGGGAAAAAAGAAAGCATATCAATTAGCCTGCCTGCTTAGAAGTAGAGACATTTCTTTATGGATCAAAGTAGAGTTGTTTTATAAAAATGAGAGTAAAAGATTTGTCTATCTTCCCAAACTTGAATAGATACATAAATTAGGATTCTGTGGGTACTCAGAATAAAGAATGAAAAACATATCAGAGAACAATTGTTCCTTGGATAGAAGGAAGGAACTATACATAGGAATTGAGGGATGGAGATTTAGTAAAGGTTAGGATATAGGGAAAAAACCCTTTTTGTAGGGGGAAGGGGTTTGGAAGTTGTCCTAGAAAAGCAGGCTGAAGTCAGTTTGGTGTGGTATATGAGTTGCCACTTGTAGGGAACACTTAAAGGGTTTGGGACGAAATGAGGATTAACAGGATGGATTTAGAAGGGGATAACATTACTGTGCTAGATGGGCAATCAGAGTGTGGCTTAAAGGAACAGAGAAAATACAAGTGTGGCTAGAAAAGAAGGTTTATAATCAGTCTGATGGAAATTTTTGAAGAGTCAAAGATTGCATTTTATGTGCATAATGGCCAGGTACAGAATAGTTCCATAGTTCCATAGCTTAATGGCAAAAGAAAATCATGCTAGCAGTTCATTATATGAAAAAGAAACTGGAGAGGCTAAAAAGGATGCTGAATTACTGGCCTACTTTTATATTTATATAGTATTTTCAGTTTTTCCAATTGCTTTTATGCCCCCCTTTTTTAGTTTTCAAAACAATCATGTTAAGTAAAGCAGATTTTATTATTTTAATTTTAAAAATGAGAAATTGAGGCACAAGGAGTTGGAATAACATGTCTAAGGTCACACAGTATTGAAGCCAGGACTAGAATATAGGTCTTCTAAAACTAGTTCAGGAAAAAAGCACTTTTTCTTTTTCTTTTTTTTTACATTACATTATTAATCAGTCTTATCATAATCGGATCCTGGACTGGAGTTTTTCTACTTGGAAGAGAAAGGAAGAAATAGCTTTAGGACTCTGTTTTAGAAAATTAATCAGATGACTTTGCAAATAATTATGTAAGAGGCAATATGGCATAGTACTTAAAAACAGTCTAGTAGGTCTCAGCACTGCTATTTATGTGCTCTATGATCTTGGGGCCGTGATAAGACTTAGTTTCTTCAGCTGAAAAATGGGAAGGGAATGGTACATATCTCTTGGGTTTTGTAAGGAGTGATTCAAATAATCAATGTGAAGTATCTGTAATTTAGTAAGTTCTCAATAAAAGTTAGCTGCTAGTAGGGAGGAAAGGGAGGCAAACATTCTTTTTAAGCCTCCAAGGTTTACCTTCATGTACTGTATATAAAGTTCGTTTTAAGGGTGTGAGTGAAGGAGGTCCTGACATGTTTCCTTTTGTTCCTCAGTCCTCCCTAGAGAGCTTTAAAGATAATTTTCTTTTGTTGGGTGAGGCATCTTTGCATTTTATAGGCCCTTGTCACTCTAAAGGTTAGGATGTTCAGCTCTTCTAGGCCCAGAATACAGTCTGGCCTTGATAGCACCTGAAGCTATGGATCAAACTGTGTTCAGAAGATTCCTCCATTTATTAAAAGTCTGTTGTTGGCCAAACATTTTCTTGGGGCTGGGAATACAGCACTGAACATCTTAGATGGACAAAAACTCTGTCCACATGGAGCTCACAATCTAGCTAGTCTATAGATAGAGCTTTATTTAACTTGTTGAGAAAAAGTGCTGTTTTCTCCTCAACTATTTAGTCATTGTTATAAGCTGCTTGACATCGGTGGATATGGAGACTATATGTCATAGTAATGATGGTGATATCACTTCAGTAAAGATAGAATTAATCTTTTGAAATGGAGCCAGGAATTTAGGATATTGCATAGGACTTCAAATTTTTAATTGACATTCAGAGTTGAATTTGCTTCTAGGAGTAACCTGACAATCTTTAAATTACTAGACCATGGAAGAGACTTATAGGAGAATATTTTTATAACAAATATTTTTATCTCATGCCACTTAATTTTGGGTGATATTGTAGTGGTTCCATGTTGGATCCTTTCTAAAATTCTGCTGTCCTAAAAGGAACTTATTTTAAGTTGAACTTGCTTATAAAACTGCCCTGACGTATGGAACTAGAGTAAAGATCACTTTTTAAAGGTAATTTGTTGGTGTAGAGTAGATGGTGGAATATGGTACCTTTTAAAATGCTAATTCTAGATTTCCTTTTTTGTCTTTAAAGATTTTATTTATTTATTCATGAGAGACAGAAAGAGAGAGAGAGAGAGAAGCAGAGGGAGAAGCAGACTCCCAAGGAGCAGGGAGCCTGATGCGGGACTCGATCCCAGGACCCTGGGATCATGACCTGAGCCAAAGGCAGACGCTTAACCATCTGAGCCACCCAGGCACCCTAATTCTAGATTTCCAGATGGCCCAATTTATTGCTTTATTTGTGAAAAAAAGTTATGAAAAATCTTCTGTATTATTAAATTAAGGAAAGGGAAATGGGACTAAAATGTCAAATAACAAAAAGAATACATAAGTTGGCTAAGTAATATTGGTATTTTTATTTTACTTAAATTGTAATTTAGATTATAATACTAACTTAATGAAAACATACTCTCGTAGTAATACATAGGAAGCAAGATGCCATAAAAGAAATCAATTCTCCTTTTCCCCTTTATAACTTGAATTATTACTCTACAGTGGTGAGTGACTATAGAAATAAACATATGTATAGGATGCTAAGGTAGCTAACGAGTGGTAGAGTCTAAAGCCTACAAGTATTAAGCTTATGCTAAAAATATTGAGGTCAAATGAGGAAGTGAGATCGCTTTTCATGGAGAATTAGAAAATATCTGGACAAAGTTCTGGAATTCAGATAGAGTCAGCGAGCATGGCCAAAAAAATATTCACACTTCCAAGATATCATTTCTTTCTAACCTTGGGATGATGGTTGCTTCAGAAGTCTAAACAGGGCAAGACAGACTACAGTGTATTGCAAGATGCTTCAAGTGAATGGGGAAATGTGGGTGCCATGCTCAACACTTCTGTGTAGAGAAACTCTACCCTTCCTTCCATTCTCATACCTCATAGGATACCTGACACTTGATCATTTGGCTTTCTGTGAGAATACCACTTTCAATCTGTAGAGTAATATTAGTTAAGTTTTATTTATTTTTAGATAAAATAAATGTAAATTAAAGTTCTAATATATTGTCTCACGTAAAAGAGTGTTTCGGATACCCCTTGGAGGTATGTTGCTCATTTAGAAAAAGTGAATAACTAGTATTTAATGCATCTATTTTATGGAGTCATAAATGTTTTGGTCAGAAAAGGACTATAAAGCTCAATTGCATATTTTGGACTAACTCCTTAATTTACACATGGTGAAACTGGATACCAAAGAGATAAGAAGATGTATTTAAGGTCATTCTGCTTACACTAGTTAATGGCAGAGCTTGGCCTAGAGTCCAAATCTCTTGTTTCTTTCCATCTTTGTATAGTCCCTCTTCTATTTTTTTAAAGATCTTATTTATTTATTTGACACAGAGAGATTGAGAGAGAGAGTGAGCACAAATAGGCAGAGCGACAGGGAGAGGGAGAAGCAGGATCACCCTGGGATCATGACCGGAGCTGAAGGCAGATGCTTAACCGACTGAGCCACCCAGGCGCCCCTGTGTAGTCC